CCTTGGAGAGAACTGTTAACTACTGCTATTGAATCAGGATTCTATAGACACATTACAGCTAACTTCATTTTAACTATTTAAACGTTGGTCCTATGATCAATATGAAGCTCACAGCCAAATGAGATCAAATTTTTCTTAAAACAAAGTATTCAAGTGATGATATCACTGGTGTTTAAATTTTATAGTCTTACTATTTATCTACACTGGCACATGTCATACACATGTATGTGAGACAGACTTCAAGTGCCTTACCCAGTCATCACATCTATAATGTAGATATTTTCCAGCAAGTCGACTGTAATAATTTGCAAGGCTCCGAGACTAATATCCAGATAAATTAAGCAATTTACTTGTTAGGATATTGGATGGGGAGATGATTTTCTTATAATTACATTTTACTCAATTTAGTGAAAGTAGTTACACTCAGTGGCACAACATGTACAGATAACCCAGGTTTCTTACACACATTTACTACTTTAATTGAAATTTCGAAAGACAAATTTGTACAATGACCTTCATATCCTTCGAGTTTATATGGTCATATCCAATTTGAAAACTAAAATTCTCAGAGCATTTCTCTTGCATGTTTTATGTATGTAATCAAGAAACTTGTCTTCAGGCAGGAGTGTGAAATTTGGATTTGGTTGTTCAAAGACATTTCAACCAGTAAGGTACATGTGTTAAGTGTGCTATATATGGCCAACTATGGAAATGAACACAGGTTTCGTGTTGTCCAGAGTTCTGGTTTGAAAGCCAGCATTTGTTAATTCTATAGGAATGATAAGGACATTGTAAGTAAATGTTAAATGTGTACTTATAACTCAGTAATCCGAAATTAAAGAAGAGCTAAGTGTAGTTATAGCATTCCACATAACACAAAAAAACATTGTAGAAAGTCCTTCCTTCCAGGCATCAACCAGGTATTATAGGGTTATGATAGTTTGGTACATAAGTTACCTGGCATTAAGAGTACTACTAAGTTTTCCTCACACAATGTACCAAGATGTACATACACAGTAACAGATTTATTTCCATATAGAACTTGATCCTTACATGGAACCAAATGTTTTTGCCTAGTAGACAGGAAGAGTTGGACATATTTATTTCAAGGTTTGGAAAGTCTGATCCTGCCCTCGGGAACTTATTTTCTAGGTTATGATATGAATACAGTAGAGATCCTCATTTGTAAAGCAGGATACATTTACTGTGCATTTAGTGTTTTATTCATAACTTTGAAAAGGAACTCCGCTGCACTATTGCATAATAGCACCAGGATAATAAAATGTTGCATGTGAAGGAAGTCATGCATCAATGGTACAAACATTGTATACATGTAGATGGAGCTGTTATTTATGTCTATATTCTATGAACTGTATACAGATAAAGATATTTTCCGTGATAGATATTCTGTACCAGTACAGTTGTATTTGTGTGACTGGTTCATACTGGTAGCCATTAATTGATGTGCTGTAATGAATGCCTCATTCTATGTGGGTACCTTTATTGTTTCTGCTAAAGTCATTATCTCAGACTGCTGGAGCTTGTCCCAGGGAAAAGGTGAAGGTTATTATAGTCATGCTTCCAATGCAACTTCAGAAATAATTGCCAAAAATCCAATTCTGACAATCTCTCTTTAATTTTCCATCTGTCTGGTGTTTAACTCCATTTTTCCGGTGATTTACTGTCAAGTGATTAACTCCATCTGTCTTATGAATAACTCCATCTGTCTGGTGATATACTCCATCTGTCTAGTGATTTACTCCATCTGTCTGGTGATAGTGATTAACTCCATATGTCTAGTTATTTACTCCATCTGTCTAGTTATTTACTCCATCTGTCTGGTGATATACTCAATCTGTCTAGTTATTTACTCCATCTGTCTAGTGATTTACTCCATCTGTCTTATGAATAACTCCATCTGTCTGGTGATATACTCCATCTGTCTAGTGATTTACTCCATCTGTCTGGTGATAGTGATTAACTCCATATGTCTAGTTATTTACTCCATCTGTCTGGTGATATACTCAATCTGTCTAGTTATTTACTCCATCTGTCTAGTGATTTACTCCATCTGTCTAGTGATTTACTCCATCTGTCTAGTGATTAACTCCATCTGTCTACTTATTTACTCCATCTGTCTGGTGATTTACTCCATCTGTCTAGTTATTTACTCCATCTGTCTAGTGATTTACTCCATCTGTCTAGTGATTAACTCCATCTGTCTACTTATTTACTCCATCTGTCTGGTGATTTACTCCATCTGTCTAGTTATTTACTCCATCTGTCTAGTGATTTACTCCATCTGTCTAGTTATTTACTCCATCTGTCTAGTGATTTACTCCATCTGTCTAGTGATTTACTCCATCTGTCTAGTGATTTACGGTCTGGTGATTTACTCCATCTGTGTAGTGGTCTTTTCTTTTTGTCTGATGGTTGAATTAGTATTATATCAGTTATATACGGAATCCGTCAACTCCATTTGTGTTATGATTTACCATTTGTCAGCGGGTTTGCTCCATCTGTCATTTGGATTTACTCCATTTGTCAGGGTGTTCACTCCATCTGATCAGTGATCCATCAGTCTTGTAAATTACTATAGTTTCATGAAACCTATATGAAATAGTACTGGATATGAAATGAAAATTTTTATAGAATTGTTTTGCTTTTCTTTTTCCTTACATTATTAACAATGATCAGCTTACTTATTGAACCATTGACATTCAGCTTTAATTTCACTGATCACAAGGTAGGATTTGGTTTCATCAGCTATAAAATAACAGACAGGGATGTAGCTGGTGTAAAGATGACTTCATTAAAGTGACAATGTTTTTTTTTTGTGTGGACATTTAGATAGATATCGTACATGTATATATTTGGAACACTCAAAGTGGATTCACGATCAGAAATATTACAAATACATTTATAGTATTCACCATGATTTGTCATGTTGCTATGGTAACCAAAGCAAAGCCTGTATCCAATGGTTACTTGTAATGGCTGGATTGAACTTGATATGGTTCTTCTTGGTTGTGATGACAAAAATATTTCAAAAAATGTTCCAATACTTGATGCTTCCATTTCTAGACTTCAGGATAACTAAGATACAGTTGACAGTTTTAACAATAACATATATAGTCATTTGCCATCATGTGTTGTCTTTATTTGTCTGTCAATTTTTTTAACTAGTATACTAAAATGTTGCAGAGGTACAGAGAATGATAGTGAGTGTAATCCTAAGAGTATTGAGGATGGCAACCCCTTAATTACAGAGTTAATCAAAGTTTTTAAAATTCATGTCCAAAACATGCCTTAGTCTTCATGTAAACAAGGATGATGAGACTTGGTGGATACATAGGTCTTACTAAGAGAAGTTACAGTGTACTAAATTCAGTACCTGAAACTCCTTTATTACAGAACTATTGCCTTTTGTCAAAATATTGTGTCCAATTAAGTCCTGCATTCATCAGTTTTACTGATACTCATATTTCTGATGATGTTTGGTTATTTGACTTGTCATATGTAGGTTCCCCTTACTCCTTAGTAAAAATGTGGCATTATTAATGTTGAAAATAATCAGAATAACAAATTGGCTGACAGGTGGCCATTTTGTAATTTGATGATAATAGTTGTTAATGTTATTTCTCGATAAGTACTCGATGGATCTTTCTGAGGTTTTATATGCAGGTTCTCTTGCTCCCTGGTTGTGCCTTTTTTATCTTGACACTGATCAGAAAATTGAAATGACTGACAGGTGGCCATCTTGGATTTAGACAATAAAAGTTTGTTATCACTATTTCCTCTGAAGCATCAAATAGATATTTCTCAAATTTCAGATGTCAGTTACCATTAATATCTGGTACTGTGATGCCCTTTTAATTTTTAGAAATTAAGACTGATTAGAAAAATGAAATGGTCGGAAAGTGGCTATATGGATTTTAGAGAGTTAAAGTTCATTACTAGCATTTTTTTCCACAAAAATCCTAAATGGATTGCTCTTAAAATTTTATTGGTAGGTTCTTGTTTGTTCTCTCAGTTCTGCTCCCAGTGAGTTTATTTCCCCTAAATTTTATGTGGATTGTCCTTGTTTATTGATGTTACCATGTTGTTAATTCATCTGTCAATACAATAGGTAACTGAGTGCAAATAAGAGGAAAGAAATTATCCTATTTATAAAGGACCATTTAAGATCATATAATGAAATAAGGCATTAAGATCCCAACCAAGATCCCTCCAGGAACTTGTGTTATCACATACATTCATGTAGATGTAGCTTACTTAAATTTTGTGTTGTAACACCCATGGTGTAAATCTGTCAGGTACACCTGTTTTGATAACACCTCGTAGTGCCAGGACTGAAGGTAGGCTGTTATTGGTCCAGTTATGATATGATGAATTTTAAATTATTTTGCAACATCCCTTAAAGCTGGACATGTTAACAAACTCCAAGCTTTTTAATGTCTGATTGGGGTATGGATCCCCAAAGTGGCACTGCAAAAGCTAAAGTAAAAACAATGATGTTATGGAAATTAAAGTATGAAATGTACTAGATTCTGAGACCATCATGTTGGTTGGAATGGAAACATTGCATAGCGGATGGTAATTGTTGACCTTTAACAGTGTCATTAGGCAAGGTATATTGAAGTTTTATGTAAGATATTAGATACATGTTATGTGCTGTGAAGTGTGTATCACTTCAGCTGGTAACACATGTTGTTTATTCAGAGATTGTATAGTGAAACATGTGATAGATCTCTGTTCATATCATTTTACATAAACCTTATATCGATAAAGTGGTTACATTATTCATAAATTCTTCCTTTATTAGCACACAACAGCATTTTAAGTATCACTTTCTATGTAGATTAGTCCGCTGAGAAAGACTTCATGTACTTTCATTTTTTTTCAGTATTTACATATTGTGTGGCATCCTTCAATTTTACCACTGCTGCTGTGATGATTTTTAAACTTCTAAAGGCTAAAAACTAATTTCATCTTTTCAGATTTATCTTCACTTACGATACTACACCTGCCCTAATGAGCAGCGATGGATTGTGAGGATCCTGTTCATTGTCCCAATCTACTCCTTTGATTCCTTCCTGAGTCTCATGTTTTTCAACAATGACAATTACTATGTGTACTTTGACAGTATCAGAGATTGTTACGAAGGTGCGTAGAAAAAAGAATTGAAAAAAACTAAGAATGAAAAGCTCCAATATTCTAACAAACAAGATTGAAAGAATGCCCATGAGTATGGGGAATTTAAAGATAATCGAAATGTATTGATTTCAGAACCAGGCTGGTTTGATCATCCTCTTCTTCAATGATTTGCATGTTGTCTGTCCTCATACATATAAATGCTCCATTAGCTCCAAGACAGTCATTGAATGAATCAGTAAGTTGGATGTTACAATAGTAATTTCTGTTTTACAAGAAAGGTTTTTCTGCTGTATAGGACAGTTTCTGAGGACAAGCAACTTTTACAAATGAAAATTACATTCAACAAAATTTGTATCTATTGCTAAAGAGTCAATACACATAAAAGTATGTTTTTACTAGACATTAGAGACATCATATAGAAGTATATATTTAACAATGTAACAAAGTTCTTGAATTCCAGTTATCCATTGAATTTCCATGTTAAATGTAGAAAAATTCCTTATTGTGTCAGTAGCAAACGACTAATATCACTGACAATAGTTTTCATATATCATTTTACATTCAGATGTACTGTAAAATTACATAATTTTGTGGAGTCCAATTTTTGTGGTTTTTCAAAAAATACTAAACAGTCTGAAAACATATGAATTTGTAGATTAAGCACATTTATGAAATCAATGAAAATAAACCAGTATGAAAACTAACAGCTTTACTGGAATGTTCCCATATTATTGGATAAACTTTAAGTTATTACTGAGTGAATGTATCACTATGTATTGTGTATGATAACAGTGTTCTTAAGCTTAGTTCTACTCTGATTGGGAAATAATGAATAGGTATTTATAAATGTCAGATTTTAAAAATTTTCCATTAACCTTTTTCTGTTTTTAAGTGTAATTGAAGTCTTCAATTTTGTAAACTCAATAACTTTAATGCTTGTGTTAATGAGTTTCCTGGGAATGTCATTCAGTATAAAATGGCTTCTGAAAATGTTACATGTTATAAGGAATTTGTTGGCGTAAATGTTTGGTTGATGACATATTTCATCTCATTTACAGCATTTGTGATCTACAGTTTCCTGAGTCTGTGTTATGAATACCTCGGTGGTGAGAGCTCTATCATGTCAGAAATCAGAGGCAAGCCAATCAAGTGAGTGTAGTGCCTACAGTTATAGAAATAACAAGGCTCTATTTCATGTCAAAATCAATATTTGTTACACAATTCATGATCAGGTTGAATAGGACTGTTTTTTTATATGTTAGAATTGAGGGTAAAATTACACTGTAGCAAAATGTTGTTTTGTAAGTAATTATGACTTACAAGTAAAGGTTTTAAGATTTGTTAGCTTAACCTGTCCATTATTATGTTATAATACAATGTTAGAATACATTTTTCTTTACCATAGTCTGCATGTATACTGTGCATTTTATGTGTGATTGTTTCTGCCAAAATGTTGTATGTGTACATATTATTTTTACCTGACAGATCCAGCTGGATTTGGTGTACATGTTGCCTTTCTGGGAGGCAGTACACCATAGGGTTTCTCAGATTCTGTAAACAGGTAAGTTATGTACAGTATTTTAGTTGAGAACACTGAAAATATCAAATTTGATCTATTATACCATTTAAACACTTGGCATCTTTAACCTGTTTCTAATCTAACCACATTTTTCTGACTTGCTTTTGTCTTTTATTCTTGTTTCTATATATGAAAGTAAAAGAAGAAATATAGAATATTTTTTTGTACAAAATTCTACACTTCAGGCTACACTTCAATTCTGTATTGTGAAACCTGTGATGGCAGTGATCACTCTGGTACTTCAGGCCTTCAGCTTGTACAAAGACGGCAACTTCTCGTAAGTCTTGGCTCCAATGACCAGCAATATCTTCTAGGTCTGGTGAACAAATTGTTGTATGATGGACAGGGCTTTACAACAACAACATTTACTCTTAATGATTTTTTATATTCTGTAAATCACACCTTTATTGATTACCTAACAAGACAATGTGATGTGGTAGAGAGCATCAAAATGTTCATTATTCTGTGAAAGTATTGTGTGTTAGGGGAAAATGCTGATTATGGTTTGAATTTATGAGCTAACATCTATTTTTACCCCTTGCAGACCAAGTTCTGGTTACCTGTATATCATGCTAATCTACAACCTGTCCATCAGTCTGGCGTTGTACGCACTTTTCTTGTTTTACTTCGCCACAAGAGAGTTGCTGAGCCCATATGACCCCATATGGAAATTCTTCACTGTCAAATCTGTTATCTTTTTATCATTCTGGCAAGGTTGGTATATCATTTTAATCTTTTTTGGGGAAAATGTATTGGTAATTGATATATTTCAGATGTTTCAGTTATGAGAAAAACAGCAAATGATCAAATTTCAACTTGCTTCTTAGCAAATGCAAATTATCTTTCTAGAGTTTTTTTTTAAATTGGATCCCAAAAGATGTTCAAGCTTTTATTAATTACACTGGTGATGTATATCCATAATTAACAGCACACATGAATTGTTGGTGTGCCATTAAATTAAAAATCAAATCACTTACATAGAAATTTCTGATATGATATGAAGTCATTATAAAGTACCAGTCAGAGAGCACAGATGTGTGTAGATACACCATTTCATGGTATAAACATATGTAGATGCTAAACTAAATATATTCACTTTTCTGGTTCTGCATAAAGCAATAATTTTTTTATACAAAAAGGCCAGATCTATATAAAAAAAAAAGTTAAATATGTTAGAATGACAGCTGTAATGGGAAAGTAGTTCCTGGTTGTTATTGGATTTTAACATAATTCTAAATATTATGCTTTTCAAGGGATTCCACTTTTGGCTAATTTCAAGGGGTTCTATTTTACATTATTTTGGAGGTACTATATTTTTTGTTATTTTTTAGAATGCAATGAAATCATGGATAATTGATACATTGAAATTAAAATGATTGAAGAAAAATTTTGTCCATTTCTGTGAAAATACATAATTTTTTTTACCTTCAAAATATGGACTAAGGATCAAAACAGCCTTTACATTATTTGGTTTGAAAGAACAAATAACAATACATCAATGTATTTTATAATACTTTAATATGTACATGTGTATGTGGTTATAGGTGTTGTGCTGGCTATTCTTGAGAAAGGAGGTGCAATAAGTCCCATATACTCTGAGGATGGTGTGATGAGACAAGGAATGGGTACGGTGTCTGCTGGCTATCAGAACTTCTTCATCTGTATCGAGATGGTGTTTGCTGCTTTAGCTCTAAGGTTTGCATTCCCGCATTCCATTTACAGTTCAGGTCCCACCTCTACTGCTGGACGAACAGTGTCACTACAGAGTATCTCAAGCAGTCTGAAAGAAACCATGAATCCAAGGGACATCATGCAGGACGCCATTCACAATTTCCACCCTCAATACCAGCAGTACACACAGCAGGGAATGAAGATACCCCAGGAGGAGGAGGCCGCAGATGGCTGGCCATATGACCAGTACCAAAATCGGCCTGTGCAGAATGGCAATGGCCCATCCTCTGTGGCGGCAAATACACTCAACACAAACCCAACAACACGTAATCAACCTCGACCGCCTACCCAGCCAGCTAATAATGGGGCAACAATTACACCTCACAGAAGGTTCAATGAGAAGACAACTCTTTTAAGTTCAGATGATGAATTCCAGTGATGAGACCTTATAGACAACTTTAATTCAGTAGATGAGAATAATTGTTTTAACCAAGGTAGTTGGTGTATTGTGTGTGTATAGAGCTGGTCTATTGAGTAAGAATGTTTGGTCTAATAACACACCTTGTACCTGTTAGACTGACCCTCTCACATCACTAAAATAATCAGAGATCGGGGCATTGTGATTAAACTGTTAAATTTTGGTTTAGCATAGGATACCATTTTCTCCCACGCCGATCTTAATAGAAATATATATTAAAAAATTCTTTCACTTCCTCAGGAAAAAGATGGGCAAGCCTTTACCTGAAGGTTAAGATTTTTGCATGTGTTAAACATAAATTTCAGCTGTATCCTTATTTTAGTAATTTTCTTGCCAACTTATGATTGTGTCAATGGAAGGCTTATTTTCTATTACACTGAAGTCAGGCAAGGCTTGCCAAGGATCTGATCATTTATCAGTCTTATCCCTGCCACCCAAGCAAATGAATTATTCTTTTTCTTTCTCCTTTGTTATTCTTTTACTTCAAAGATTTTTATTATAAAAATGATGATTTCATTGATTTTGCAATTATGTTGTGATACCACAGGAAACATACTGGTTGTCTTCCCTCTTTGTGGGGCAGGTGTATCACATAACAGGGAAGTCATGACTTTGTCTTTGATTAGAAAAAGAAAAAATCAGATGTAGAGCTAGTCTTTTTGGAATATGATTCCTGAATCCTGAATGAAAATAAATATTATTGACACATTACTTTGAAAACAGTCGAACGGAAATCACAGGATAATGAGGCTGTGTATCATCATTAGGTGGTGGGTATTATCACAGAACAATGCTTTAAAATATTTTTTGAGAAAAATAGGAATGAGAGCAGTCACTGGATAAGTATTTAAGGTGTATGGGTATTCTTTTATTGGATGTATTAGTTGTGGTCATATCTCTGACAATGTGTTGTCCTAAATATAGAGAAGTAATATTTTTTCAGAGCAGCACATGATAGGTTTTACTAAGACAATAATCTCCCCTGTAGGATGGATTTTTCTAAGACAATAATCTCCCCTGTAAGATAGGTTTTACTAAGACAATAATCTCCCCTGTAGGATGGATTCTTCTAAGATGATAATATCCCGTGTACATCTTTAGAATAGTGTTTCACTATTGATGATCTGTCGCAATATAAAAGATTAAAACATGAGAGTAAAAAATTGTATTTTATGCAAGTCCTAGTCCAACTGGAGGTGACTTTGTGCACCTATGATAGATGGATGGGTATCATGCATATGCTGTGGCAGGAAAATGATAATGTTCTTTACATTGATATTCTAATGGGGTTGTTTTTTATTGTTTTTCGTTTTGTTGTTTTTTTTTTTTTTTTCTTTAAGCATTGTAATAGAGAAAAAACCAGTGTAACCTTTAGATTAAGTAGACTTAAAATCTCAATTACAAGCATCAAATTATATATGACTTACATAATGTGTACAAGGTTTGCTGTTCTGGTATGTCCAAATAGACACTACTGTTGATAATGGAGAAGTGTTAATGAACTTTAAAAACAATGTACATTAGAATCTCATATTTTTATTTTCATTAATTAATTGAATTTATGTACTCAGCTTTAAAAGAAAAAGTTTATGAGGAAAAATACTGCTATCAGAAATGTCATTTTGATTATCACAATTTTAAATATCTTTGTTTGTTTCCATATCAAGATAATTTCATGACACGTGAAATTTACTTTCACATCTTTGGCAATTTATGGAAATAGGTAAAACTTAACAAAATTAATATTTAAGTTTAATGTAAAAGCTGTATGTAATTGTCCATTTGCATAAGGAACATAATAAACACGATCTATTTGTGTGTGCTAATTAAATTGAATGCGTTGTGAGGTATTTTTTCCACTGTTTCAATCATTATGTCTATGTCATTTTGATTCAGTCTTCTGCTCCCTGACATGTTATATAAATGCAATTATTTTAGTAGAAAAAGTGCTGGTTGTGATACTTCAAACGGATGACTGCATTATTAAGGAGAGAGGGGAAATTCTTAGCTTTAATGACACGAGAATTCAGTACTGCAGGCTTTAACATATATTATGTGATTGTGTTTAAATTTATTATGTATTTGGCCTATTTTAATGTCTGCCATTGAACAAGTGATCCCTTGGTATCAACTATTCTTATTAAATGTTTTTATATACAGATATTTATCATATTGATCACAACTTTTGCAGTAATTAATTTTGGTTTTATATAACATTTTTTGAACTGAGGACCAATTTTTACAGGAAAAAAAATTAAAGAAATTCTTCCCGATTATTATATTCTTTTAAAAATCAAAATAATTTTGATGATTTTGTGATTTACAGACACAGCTTTTGTTAGTGATGTACTGTGCTACTCCACGTACGGTTATGATAATATGAAAATTGCGAATGTGTTGTGATTACGTAAATGTACTGTCTGACTTTAGTGTTTCTTAAGATTCAGTGTACATCAGTGTATGCACCCATAATGGGCTACCAAATGTCCTTCACAAATTGAGATTAAACAAAACATATATACATGTATATTAAAATGGGGAAATACTGAAAAGCAAGTGAAATTTCACTGTTTAGAGCTGTTGTGCAGAATTGTCAGTATACAAAATATTATAAAAGTATTGCTGTCCTTTTGTAAAAGGAAAGAAGATAGGGTTTTCCTGATGTGTGTGAATGTTAGGACCAGAGTATTGAGTGTGAGGTAATTCATTGTAAACAATGTATTACAATATATATTATGTATGTGGGTATCTAAAGTATCACTCCTGACTGTAAACGGAACAATCACAATTATGTTGATATTGTAAATATATAAATCATTTTTTGTACATATCATTTATTTAAAGAGAATCATTTGTGAATGTACTATCAGAATTTACACCCAATATAATCAGTTTATAGTTCCTGCTTTGCCTGTCTTCTGTTGAAAAGGTCTTAGAAATTGAACAAGTCTAGATGCCAAAATTTTGTTCAGTTATAATGCAGTAAGGTAATACAGTTTATCTGTACTTGTGTTGATGATAAATGATATCAATTCAAGTTAGACCGGGAGAGGGAGATTTGTGAGGTTAAAACGCTAGCGAATTACAAATTTGGTTCAGTAGCAAATAACATGCACAGAGGCTTTGAAGTTATCGTCAGAAAAAGGTTGATGCTCTACTTAAGTTTCGTTGCTAATCACATATCATATATTTAATTGGTTATGAAGAAAATTGGTTTCATATCGTGCATTAAGCCAACAAATAATTATTTTAAAAGACAGTATTGTCAATGAACCTTAATATCACATGTGCTGTGTAAATCAGTGTGGGGAAACATGTTGGAGCTGCTTTTAGACATAATATTATCAGGTTTTCTGTAGAACTAACCTAGGTGGTTTGCTAAATAGACTGTTTTATTGTAGCGATAGAAATATTTTTGATATTGTTATATTATCTGTTGTGAAATTGTGATAATGTTATTCTACTTGTATGTGGATATACGCAGCTGTCTTTGTGTTGAAGCATTGTTTTTAGTATCAACTATGTATTAGCTTCATTATGATTTACATGTAAACACTTTGCGATCCTGATACATTTGTAGAGTAAAACTGAGCAACATCTTTATGCCTATTCCTCTTTAGAATTGTTGGATCTGAAGAAAAACAGGTCTGTGTAGTTAAGTGGTTAGTATTATTAAAAGATTTGCCAGATTATATACTTACCATGTACATGATGGCTATTGTTTTCAGATTGAGTATTTCTATTTTTTTCTTCCTTTTTTTTTTTTAATCTTGTATTTAACAAAATATAATTTGTCTCAGAGGGACTGATGGAAACTTGATTCCATTAAATAGAATGATGATCTTTCTGTTTTCTACACTCCTACTTTCACTTGTTCCTTTCCATTCAAAAAGTTAAGGTCTTATATACATTTAATTACTAACACAGGTAAATTCACGGGTCTGTTTACACCTTGTTTAATTAGGAAGACATAATGTCATTATTTGGGGCCATCTAATGATCAAATTCAGGTTTGTTTTATCTTCATTTTTTTCTTTTCTTTTCTGTTCAAAATGTGTGATTCCACATTCCAGTAAAAAAGAGAAACTTGAATCCACCATTGCTTCTTACAGCATAACAACATTTAGGTAAGTGCGATCATATAGGAGTCATGTCATGTTCATGATGAAATTGTCTCATACAGTAGTTATAGAAATGAAAGTGCTTCAAAGTTGGCCTTTTTCCCCTCATCAGCATTGTGAGAATATGTTGTATGGAGAGTTTTTCTATATAAATGTGGCGGAGGTTTATATCGCACTGCTGTTCATTACTAATTCTAGTCTTGCTTTACCCGGTCATGTAATTTCATTTACAACATTACATCATGTTGTGATCATTCTGTTCATCTGTAATCATAACACTACCTTATTTCATGTTCGTCATTTATGAGGAATGTTTGAATGCATTATTTTGCTGATTTTTGGTAATAGTTTCCAAATGTTTTAAAACCATTGATAATTTTTTTGTTTAATGTTTAAAAAGTTTTAGCATATATTGGTGAAAAAAAAAACTTGATTAGTTTTGCCCATGCTTTGTTAATTATTTACTGCCATTTATACCTGGATCAGTAAAATGTTTATTTTGTTAGCTCCCTTCAGGAAATGTTAGTGATGTTATATTCAAGTCATTAAAAATACAATGTATACAATGTTTACAGTCACAAAGTAATGTACAAATACACGCATTGTTGCACAAGTATAATGTTTGTGAGGTCAGAAAATAGTACAATGGCATTTTCTGTAATGTACTGGACACTTGATCGTGTGATTGTCATTATCTTTGTGCCAATGTTGTATTGAAATGCACTAGTATATGTATTCATTAAATATTAAATCACTATTGTACAGTTCAGCAATTGTTCATTATTTTTTTTACACATTAACCATGTAGACTAGGTTTATTGAGGCTTGTTGATACTATACGGACAGAAAAATGGAATGCATGTCTAGGCAGACATTGAATTGCCCTATGGAGAAAACTACCTCAAAATGATATCAGTCTTGCTGATGAAAACTGATAAAAAGACATTTATATGATAACAAATTACTGTAATTATGTCCCTGGCATGGACCCAACAACCTTAAAATTGAAACTTGTTCTAAATTTGTATTCCCATACTGAGTTTTTGTGTGAAGATTGTTAACAAGAGGCCAAATTGGGCGGTATTACTCACTTGCCATGCAACATCCACAGAAACCTTTTGGTTTGTGAAGTCAAGTTTTACAAACTTGAAAGCCTACAAGTATACTACTACTATGCAAACACAAGGACATAGGACCTATTGCTTAATCAAAGTTTTAAATTCTGAACACACATGACCCTTTGACCTTGAAAGTTTCAGTTATTGAGAAAAAATGTCATTTGAAAATTTTGAAATGTTTGATCCCTGTGACCT